AGTTTTGGGTCAACTGCTGATAGATGCATGCAATAATTAATTCATGATCCTGGAATAACGCAAGGATCTCCATTGATGATAAGGGATACCCCAGTGGTGTGTCTCCCAAAGTATTCAGTCAAATAAAGCAAACAAAAAGGAAATCACCAGGATTAACACAGGATCAAGCTAATATTATTACAGTAACCCAGGAAGGCATCAAATGCCTTTCAAATAATTTAGGAACCGCCCACATTCATTATAATTACGGTTTTTTCCTTAAACCACCAATCTTGGCGCTTCCCATTTGTGTCATTTTGAGAGTGGAGGGAAAAGGCAAAATGGGTATTCTGAATCATAGAGTCATAGGGCTGGAGGGGATTTTGGAGGTCTTCTAGTCCAACCACCTGCCCGAGGAAGGAGTCCTAACCACTAGCCAATTTGGAAATGTAAGCAGAAATGTTGGTGTCAACTCGCAAAGCTTTCAAGTTGCCATGAGCAGGAGGGAGGGAGAACTGAAGTGAATTCCATACATTTTTCTGACCGCAATCAGAAGGAGGGTGTTACGTTTCACAGCCAGCCAAAGTGGTTAATTGGAGAATGTGATTTATGACATGGCCAGAGAGGAGGGGAGAGACAGGGTCATAGGGGAACGTAAATCTACATAGGATCAGTCCTAACTGCATCCGAGTATTGCCAGAATGTTGCTCCTAATAAATCACTATATTTCCTTTGAAGTTTGGATCATGGCTCATGAATTAATTAGGGCATCTTTCGGAAACTTGACAGTTGGACTAATACAGGGCTCTCCAAACTTGGCAACTTTAAGACTTGTGGACTTCAACTCCCAGTATCCCTCTTTCCTCATACTAGCTGGGGGGTTCTGGGAGATGAAGTCCACAAGTCTTAAAAGTTGCCTGGTTTGGAGAGTCCTGGGCTAAGATACGGGCTTGGAGCAAATCAAACCACTTCATTTCTCTTGATCAGTTCTTTTATTCTTGGAAATACAGCTTAGATTTTGCTGGCTCGCCTGATGGCAAGATAGGTTGTCTTCGGCGAGGAACTGGTGTCATGTTCATTAGCTTTTTCTAGAATGCCTGTCTGTCAAGCCATTGGGGATTTCTCACACCGTAGAAAAATGTGTTATAAAATGATAAAATAGAGGCCTGGCTATTGTCACTTAGAACTGCCTTTTCAGCAAAAATTCAGGATATATTGCTGCATTTTGAAATGATTCCGCATTCTTTGTCGGGGGATATTCGGGCTAGCCAAGGCAGTTCCTCTTGCATCATTACAAGGTTTTTCCATTTGCACGTGGCACGACTGAAAATAAGGACGACAACCATCACAGCAGCATCCGAGTTGCAAACATGGCACAAAGAGAACGAGATTAGCCCACACAAAGTGCCTGGTTAATCAGTTCCTGATCTCTCTAAGAGGAGGCATTTGAAGGGTGCTTTCTTCTGATCTCAGATCCTAGTCTGAAATGGGAACAAGCCATTAGCTGCATTCCATGTTTTAATTAAAAAGGAAGACATCCTTTTAACAGCACCTGCATGTTATATAAAAGCACGAAGATGCCAATTAACAAGGAGACAGATGGAGGCAGGTAAAGCATGTAGAGTATAATTTGACAACTTGGGCTCTTTCAGAAGCAATTTAAATTCACCAGGAGGAGGAGGGGAAGAAGAGGAGGAGGAGGAGGAAGGAGGAGAGGAAGGAAGAGGGGGGAGGAGGAGAAGGAGGAGGAAGAGGAAGAGGAGGAGGAGGAGGAGAAGATGAAGGAGAAGACGAGGAGGAGTAGGAGAAAGAGGAGGAGGAAGAAGAGGAAGAAGAAGAAGAGGAAGAAGGAGAAGCAGAAGAAGAAGGAGAAGAAGAAAGGGAGGAGGAGGAAGAAGAAGAGGAAGAAGAGGAGGAAGAAGAAGAAGAGGAGGAGGGGAGGAGGGGAGGAGGAGAAGAGGAGGAGGAGGAAGGAGGAAGAGAACGGGAGGAGGAGGAGGAAGAAGAAGAGGAAGAAGAAGAGGAGGAGAAGGAGGAGGAGGAAGAAGAACAAGGAGAAGGAGAAGGAGAAGGAGAAGAATGGGAGGAGGAGGAGGAAGAAGAAGAAGAGGGGGAGGAGGAAGGAGAAGGAGAAGAAGAATGGGAGGAGGAGGAGGAGGAGGAGGAGGAGGAGGAGGAGGAAGAAGAAGAAGAAGAAGAAGAAGAAGAAGAAGAAGAAGAAGAAGAAGAAGAAGAAGAAGAAGAAGAAGCATCTCTCTGAAGAAGACATGCATTATGGTTCCAAAAAAGAAACTCCCAAGTAGGAGGCTGTTAAACAGCTACATGCCCTTGTTCCTTGCCTAGTAAAGGCCAACATGTCAGAGCTGCAGATGGAGCTCACGCTGATCCCAGGACCCATCTGTTGTATATAGAACTCGTTCACTCCTTCCACTTGTCTGTTTGAGGAGCCTTTGAGCATCCAGAGATCATGCTCGGTGTTAAAACTATTACGTCGATGCTTTACGGTCCTTTTCCAGGTAACTGGAAGCATTGAAATGTTCTATCGTCTTTTGTGCTTCGCAAAGGTCCAAGTAGCATCTCGTCTCATCTCATCTCATCTCATCTCCCTTTAGTTCACTCATTAGAAAGCGAGGTCTCCATTGATTGCAAGACCTTTCACCTTTCCTACCACTGCTGGGCAGGAAAATAGCATATGAAAAATAGGATTGGTTCATTCCAAGCTTGAGCCTGGACATAGGATATAAACCCTTAAGTCTAGTTATCCATAGGAACAGCCTTTGAGCACCAGAGATTCTCAGTATTAAAACTACTACAGGAAGATTTAGAATGCTGCATGATAGCAATGTTCCAATATTTGAGGGGCGGCCACAAGGAAGAGGAGAGCGGGGCGGGGTCAACCTATTCTCCAAAGCACCAGAAGGCAGGACAAGAAGCGATGGATGGAAACTCATCAAGGAGAGAAGCAACCTGGAACTAAGGAGGAATTTCCTGACAGTGAGAACAATTAACCAGGTGGAACAATTTCCCTCCAGAGGTTGTTTATGCTCCAACACTGGAGGTTTTTAAGAAGAGATTGCACAACCATTTTTTTGGAATAGTATAGGGCCGCGATGGCGAACCTATGGCACGTGCGCCACAGGTGGCAGGTGGCGCCATATCTGTGGGCACGCGAGCATTGCCCTAGCTCAGCTCCAGTGCGCATGTGCGTGCCAGCCAGCTGATTTTCAGGCTTTGCTATCCTACTGGAAGTTGGGAAACGAGCCACTTCCACCTCCGGGGGTTGGGGAAGGCTGTTTTTGCCCTCCCCAGGCTCCAAGAAAGCCTCACCGGTAACCTTTTTGCCATTGCATGCCAAAAGCAGGGGGAGCGCAGTGGGGTCACATGTGCATGCATGGGGGGGTGGAGCCCTGGGGGGGCATTGAATTATGGGTGTGGGCACATGTGTGTGTGCCCCCCTGCACTCCCCCCATTTTTGGCACGCAACAGCAAAAAGGTTAGCCATCACTGGTATAGGGTCTCCTGTTTGAGCAGGGTTGGACTAGAAGACCTCTAAGGTCCCTTCCAATTCTGTTATTCTGTTATTTAAACTCCCTTTCCAGATAACTGGGAGCATTGAAAGGTTTTAGCATCTTTTGTGCTTCACAAAGGTCCATCTCAACTCCACTTCAATCCAAGAATTAGAAAGTGGTTCCCTATTGACCGCAAGACCCCTCAGTAAACATTGTTGGGCCAAAAAAAAAAAAATAGGCATATGATAAACATTCAGGTTTAGTAGTTCCAACTTTGATCCTGGATACAGGATGGAGACCTTGGATGCGGAATCCTCTAAATGGCCTATTTTGTTCATCTCTGACTTGTTTGCCTGCAGTGATGTGCAAGGGAATTGGATCTTGGCTTTTATTTTTATTTTTTTTAATTCCCCACCATAGGATGAAGCAGCATTGCTCCCTGCGACCTTCTGAGAAATGTTGAGAATGTCTAGAGCTAGTCTGGTGATGGACTTCTTCAAAAGCAAAGCTCCAGAGATATGGGGCCACCTAGAAGCAGTGCGGTGTGGTCGATTTAGTCTTTCATTTGCACAGATAAATGAGAGAGTAGAACCACTGAGAACAATTGCTCATCCTCCCTCCCTCCCTCTCTCTCCTGAATAAGTCCTCAATAAGGGGTAAATCCAATGCCAACATTGGACAAAAAACAGTGGTTTGGCTATTGGTGACTTTTCGGTTGTGTCAAAATCTGCAAGAGTTGTGGTCCAAGCTCTACTACATTTTTGTGCACGTGCATAAGGGATAAATCTGCAATCTGCAATCTTGGATATGCAGACATTCTTGTATTCTCTCTGTCTCTCTCTGTCTCTCGCTGTCTCTCTGTCTCTGTCTCTGTCTCTGTCTCTGTCTCTGTCTCTGTCTCTGTCTCTCTCTCTCTCTCTCTCTCTCTCTCTCTCTCTCTGTGAGTGTGTGTGTGTCTTCTCTCTCTGTCTCTGTTTCTGTCTCTCTGTCTCTGTCTCTCTGTCTCTCTCTGTCTCTCTCTCTGTCTCTGTGTGTGTCTCTGTCTCTCTCTGTGTGTGTGTCTGTCTGTCTTCTCTCTGTGTCTCTGTCTGTCTCTCTGTCTCTGTCTTTCTTTCTCTCTCTGTCTCTCTCTGTCTCTCTCTCTCTCTCTCTCTCTCTCTCTCTCTCTCCATGTGTGGAAGATAAGCCTCCAATAGCTACATATGAATTCTTGACTAGCTGCCAGGAGTTTACAATGCTCTCTACTGCTAACATTCCTTTGGTCTCTCTATAGGGAAGAAGGCTTGTAATTTCTTACAAATCCTATTTATGATCCGGCTGTTATCTCCATCTGGAAGGGGATCTTAATTTTAGCCCACACCACTGCATCTATTTATACGTTGCAGTCTGGCAATGGTATGTTTTATTTTAAAAACCTTCGTTTCCTACCTCCAGGCTAACCCTCCCTTATTTTCTCTCCCTCTCTCTCTCTCTCTCTCTTTCTCTCTCTCTCTCCCCTTCTTTCAAAACTAGCAGACAAAAGTAACGAAGATTTCTACTCCAAACGGCGTCACCTGGCCGAGCTGGCTGCCAAAGGGAGTCTCCCCTTGCACCCGGTACACGTGGAGGAAGACCGACCGTATATCTTGGAAGGGGGCACCATGAAACAAAACGGACAGAAATCCAAAGTCGCCAAGCCGCATATGCATCCCTTGGCTTACAAGACCTGGGATCCCAGCGACCAGTCCCTTCGAAGGCAAGCCTACGCAGCCAAAGGGAGGAACTTCATGGGAGACCCCGCCGCCAGGGACCCCTTGACCACAAGGAGCCAGCATTATTTACCCACACAGCCATATTTCATCACTAACAGCAAGACAGAAGTGACTGTTTGAGAGGAAGTTCCCTTCGGGGCACCTTTGTTTTTTGTTTTTTTTTTAAAAAAAAGAAAGAATGAAAAACAAAGCAAAGATGTGTCAAGAGGACAACCGTGGAAACAAACGAAGAAACCCAGGTTTCACTTGAAGCCAGGAAAGTCCAAACATCCCTGGCTGAAGAGAGACGGAGCTATCTCTTCCAAGGGAAGCACCTGTCCAAGACTGGGTCAGCGCGATATAGCAATATTTCCGACGTTTGCTTAGACTTTTCTATTCCACCTGGGAAACTGACTCCTTCCGACTGAATCCCCTTCCTCCTCTCCAAACTGAGATCCATGATGAGAAAGTAGCACAATTTAGAGACCGCCGTCCAGTGGCTTGAGGACTCTTTCCCACCTTCCAGGAGAGGAAGGGAAAAACTTTGATACAATCAGGATGATTATTCCTGTGATGATGCTGTTGATGATGATGATTATTATTTTTTGCTACAAATTTTCAGAATGTTCTCTAGTAGTCACTCAATCTGTGAACCGCAGAAGGCTGAAACCGAGAGCAGAGACCGAAAAGGGCATAATCCTGATGGGCGTCCGCAGGGGTTTTTTTGGGGGGGCTGTTTTTTTGGGGGGGTAGGTACCACCGCTTAACAAAACAAGCAAGCAAGCAAAAAAAAAAAATACATGGAGATCACACATCTCGTGTTAAGGAAGAGCATTGACTCTTGCGCCAATCCTACAAGACTGTTACCATTCAATTGAATTATGGAGACTTTCTCATCGATTGCAAAGCTCGGAGTTTTTCAGTCTTACGTCATCTGTATGGGCCACAAGTGACATGGTCAGAAACTCCTTATCCTCTCCTAAATCCCTTCATCCCACAGCACTCAAGTTATTTTCTCTCCAGCCTGCTTGGCGTATTTTTTTTTTCTTTCTTAACCTAGTTAATTATTCCCAGTTTTCAATTACTTTGGGACTGACGATAACTACTGTAAGCGTGGGTGGTGCCTTTACCGTATTATTAATGTTTGATGACTGTCTTGTTTTTAAGTGAAATCCGTACCGATTTCAGATGCTTCCCTCACCTCTAAGGCTTCTGTTCTCTTCTGTTTCTTTTTCTTTTTCTTTTAGCTGAGAATACACTAACGTCACCTTTATAATGTCTTTTTTTTTTTTGCAAAGCCTGGAACTGTCATTCCTTCCTGGTCACTTCTCCTGTTGAAAACTGACTTTCCCTGCCTTCTGATTTTCGGAGTGTTCTGTTGTTGCTGTTTATGTTCCTTTAAGACTTGTTTAAGTCTGTTTTGAATATTTCTCTTTTCCTTCCTTCCTTCCTTCCTTCCTTCCTTCCTTCCTTCCTTCCTTCTCCTTCCTTCCTGGTTCTCACCAAATCTTCCTTCCTTCCTGTTCTCACCACCATCCATCCTTTCCTTCCTTCCTTCCTTCCTTCCTTCCTTCCTCCCTTCCTTCCTTCCTTCCTCCCCCCCTTCCTCCTTCCTCCTTCCTTCCTTCCTCCACCTTCCTTCTTCCTCCTTCCTCCTCCCTTCCTTCCTTCCCCTCCTTCCTCCCTCCTTCCCTCCCTCCTCCTTCCTTCCTTCTCCTTCCTTCCTTCCTTCCTTCCTTCCTTCCTTCCTTTCTCCCTCCTCCCTCCTTCCTTCCTTCCTTTCCCTCTCCTCCCTTCCTTCCCTCCCTCTCTCCCTTCCTTCCTCCCTTCCTTCCTTCCTTCCCTCCCTCCTCCCTCCTCTCCTTCCTTCCTTCTTTCCCTCCCCCCTCCCTCCCTCCCTCTCCTCCTCCTTCCTTCCTTCTTCTCCCTCCCCCCCTCCCTCCCTCTTTCTCTCTTTCTCTCTCTGTGCTGATTGTTTTTTGCAGATCTCAAGGGGAAGAAAGGGACACACAGGTTGGAGAATATAACCTGTGATCACTTCCCCTTAAAAGAAGGCTGTATGTAAAAAAAAACAACCACACACAACTGTTTTAAAATATAGTTATTTCAATGTGTTTGTTCATGTAAATAGACCCACAGAAACAGCGGGGGATGTGAAGGGACTGCTTGGATGGGTGACACCAAAGTTGAACAAACCAATGGAAAAGGCAAGGGTGTCTTTTGGATTCCTGATTTCGGTGGTCTCGTATTTCTACAATCACTGTGCATTTATAATGTCTTGACCAGCAAGATATCTCCTTCAGAAAGACCATCTTGGAACATGGATTACATTGTATTTCTCTTTTATTTCCTATCTTGTCTTCTTTTGTTCTCTAGTGGGCCTGATCTAGTATTTTACCAGATCTAAGCTGCAAAAATCCTTATGACCACTGAGTGGCATCTATAGGTAGACCTTGACTTAAAACCTTTTGCTTAGCAGCCCTTCAAAGTTCCAAGGGCCCTGAAAGAAAGTGGCTTACAACCAGTCCTCGCACTTATGACCGTTGAGCACCCATGTGACACGGGATCAAAAATTCACAGGATCAAAATAAATACACTTGGCATGTATTTACTACAGAGTCTCCCCCCCAGGATCTTGTGTTCACCATCGGTGACCTTCCCAGCCGGGTTTCCATAAGCAAACTCAATGAAGGAAGCCAAATTTGCTTAAAAACCACATGGCTCACTTAATAATTGCAGAGATTCCTTTAACAACCACTGCAAAAAAAAAAAGTTGTAAAGCCAAGCGCGACTCACTTTAAAACCATCTGGAAATTCTGGTGCCCAAGTGTGGTCATAAGTCGAGGACTTCCTCCTGTATCTGTTATGGCCAGATAATGGTCATCTGGATAATGCCTAACAGCGAATAATTTGATTTTCCCTAAACTGAAATTTAACTTCCCTAATGGATAATGCTTTGCTATTAGGAGTTGGAACCATTGGCACCAATGGACAGTTCCTAAGCCTTCTTACGTAGGGCTACTCACTGTTTCCGCCATACTCTGTCTGATTCTTAATCCCGCTTCCTGCCTCCCCCTCCCCAGTAGGGGGAGGAGCTGGAAGTAGAAGTCCCGATTGGTTGGCTGCCAAAGAATTGTGTTTTGCTGACATTAAACCGATGCTCGTTGCTAGTCGTTTCCGATCCAACTGTTTTACATCCTTGCGAAGATGGGCTGGTGAGGGAGAGAATGAGAGAGAATGTTATTCTCAGTTTCATCACTTCTTTGGCACCTTGAGGAAACCATGAGAGAAATGGAAGGGTGGTTTTGAGAGTGGAGGGCTGGTGAGGAACATGGGCTGAGGACAGGGGTGGGCTTCAAAAATTTTAGCAAGGGATTCTCTGCCCTGTTGCTGGATGGGCATAGCCATGGTGGGTGTGGCCTAGGCGGCTTCCTGCACCACAGCTGGGGGGGATGTTTTTGCCCTCCCCAGGCTCTGGAGGCTTTTCTCAAGCCTCCGGGAGGGCAAAAATGGCCTCCCCAAGCTCCGGAGGACCTCTGGAGGCCGGAAACGGACCCATTTCCAGCCTTCCCAAACTTCTGATAGGTCCATTTTTCACCCTCCCCGAGCCTCCGCATGTGCCCTGCACTTACCTGCATCCAAAACAGGTTGCATGGGGACTTCTGGGAGGGGTGGGGTGGGTGGAGCCAGCCAGGAGTGAGATTTGGCGGTTCTCTGAACTACACAGAATGTTAGCTAGAGGTTCTCCCGAACCTCTGCGAACCCCCAGCAGCCCATCCCTGGCTGAGTACCACATTCAAAAGACTGAGGAGAAGATGAAAATAGTTGACAATCAGCCATGTTTGTCATAAAGATGAATCTCATTTTGAAGACCCAGCAGCCTCGGCTTAATCCTAGTTAGGAAAGAATGTTGGATCTTTCTAAGCTTCATCCTGGTCTGAAGTTCGTGGCGTTCATTTCTGAGCCTCATTCATTCAAGGGAGCTTTGTAAACAGCAGCAGCTCCCGATTTTGAAGTTTGCAAAGCCCATCTGAAAGAGGCACCTGCCAACCTACCCTAAAAAATGTGATCTCTCACAGGATCAAAGGTTGGAGGGAGCTTCTTCTGGATCAGGCACTCAGTGGCAATCCTCTCCTACAATAGCTTTTTCTATGCTGTTTCTATCCCGTTCATCAGGGGTGAAACCAGCAGATTCTGACAGGTTCTGGAGAACCGGTAGCGGAAATTTTGAGCAGTTCAGAGAACCGGCAAATACCACTTCTGGCTGGCCCCAGAGTGGGGTGAGAATGGAGATTTTGCAGTATCCTTCCCCTGGAGTGGGGTGGGAGTGGAGATTTTGCATCCTTCCCCTGCCACGCCTACCAAGCCACATCACGCACACCAAGTCATGCCCGCAGAACCGGTAGTGAAAAACTTTGGATTTCACCACTGCCGTTCATAGATTTCTTATGGATCTCTGTTGGTTTCCTCCAACGTGTCAAAGGTTTCTCCATCTCTTCCAATTATAACAGCTAACGTTTTGCTTGATATTGTGTTATGGGTGCTTCGCTCTCATTATGTCATTGCTGTTGCAAAAACTTCCTGGTTGGGTCAATGGTGTATGGTGGAAAAGAGTGGAGGAAGGCAGAGATCAACTGATCGAGCCTCAGGCAAATGGGAAGTTCAAAGAAAGAATATAGAAAATGACCCCAGATTGGTTGCTCCCTACATCTCATTCCTAACCGTCTGCTTTGACCTTGCCCAATTTGGTGCCTCTCTGAAGCTTTGGACTACAACATCTGTTCGCTCTAGTCATCACGGCTTAAAATGATGGAAACCAAGATCTGAAGCATCTAAAGAGCATTGGGTTGCTTTGCTGGTGGTGGCTTTTAATGGGACAAGCCGCCACAGCCAATTCGTTGTTCACCATGGCGAACTCACGGCAGGACGATTCCGCTGCGGGACAATACAACAAATCAATTTAATTGTTTAGAATTGTTTTAAGGATCATTTTAATGTTTCTCATTCACATTTCATGTTGTCCTTCTTTTGTCACCCTTTCCTTGATGATTCTATTTAGTAAGAGCCGTGATGGCGCAGTGGTTAGAATGCAGTACTTCAGGCGACTTCTGCTGATTGCCGACTGCCTGCAATTTGGCAGTTCGATTCTCACCAGGCTCAAGGTTGACTCAACCTTCCGTCCTTCCGAGGTCATTAAAATGAGGACCCAGATTGTTGTGGGGGGGCAACAGGCTGACTCTGTAAATCGCTTAGAGAGGGCTGTAAAGCCCTGTGAAGCGGTATATAAGTCTAAGGGCTCTTGCTCTTGCTATTCCACTATATCTCTGATGATAGTGTAACTCTTGTCCCATGGCAAGTTGGGTCACGGCATATTATCCCGTGGAGAGTTGGCTGTGGCGAGTTGACGTAGTCCCATCAGAGAACGGTACTTTCCATCCTTTGCTTCCCTTGCTTGCTTGCTTGCTTGCTTTGGAAGTATATGCTCAGGGCCTGCCTCGGAGATCTTCTGCACGTGTTTTCTCCTGCTGAGCTATATAGTCCCTCTCTTCAGGTAAAGACCAAACAGAAATCAGGGACTTTCTAATTCATTTCTCGATGTCTTAATGGTGCAGTTTTATACATATCTGCTCCGAAATAAGCCCTGCTGATCTCATTGGTGCTGTCACACCCCACCTCCCCAAAAAAACGGTAGAGTTGCAACTCTATCCACAACACCTTCAAACTCCTAGGTCTGTAAGATCCCTCCTTCTAATTTTTTGTACAATTGGTTTACATGGCTTACAAACTCAAAGCAATGTCAAGAAAATCTGTTTGGTTTGGAATTTTTTTTTCCACATCCCAATGCCTTCAGAGCGCGTCTCGCTCAGCAGCAATTTCAGTGGGCTAAACTCCATTGGAGCTGGGCATGTCGCACCTTCAGTGAATTTTGGAAAACTTGTTTGGGAAAGCAATTTGGGAATGGGGTCACCTCCAGAAGCTTTTGCAATTAATTTCCTCAGTTAACCGCTTCGGAAAGACTAGAAACCTGATCACTGTTTTCCTCCAAAAAGCCACTTTGGAATGGACACACATCACAAGGAAGCAATCCAAAGAGAAAATGAAGAGAAAAATAGCTTGAGATAATAAGGTGGAATAAAAAAAGAACAGCACAGTTTCTGTCCCAAAAGTACTTTTTCCAAAAGGCAACTGGACTTCCTTGGTTTTCTTTTGGAAAATGTTTGTTTTTAATCCAAGAAGCTTCTTGAATTCTAACAGAAGAACTGAAGAAGCTTCTTGGATGAGAAGTGAAATGTTTTCAAAGAAGAAACCAAAGGAAGTCCAGTTGCCTTTTGGAAAAAGTACCCTGATCTGGATGACTGTGAATCTCCAGAGTTATCAGACTTTCTGCTACCCCAACATCATCTCTGCTCAATGAAAAGATGACCAAATTCTTGGTATGCCCATTGGAGATGCCAAATTTGCTTAAGGACCACATGGTTTGCTTAAGAATCATGTGATTTGCTACACCACCATGGAG